CTCATTAGTGTTCAAGGCCTCAAACCTGTTCCTGAGATGATTCTGAAATTCAGGTGGGATGAACTCAAAGTCATATTTTGACTGTGGATTTGGTTTAGTTTTCCTCACCTTCAGAACTCTGGTGGTCTAGCGTTAAGAAGCTGCACTGCAATCCCAGAGGTACACAGTTTCGAATCCACCAGATGCTCTGCAGGAGAAGGAGGGGCAATCTCCTCCTGTACCTGTCAGATCCAATTTGATGATACACACACCATTTGTCCATGAGATGACTCATATTTGACTCCTGTGAGGACCACCACAGGAAAGAGCACTTAAGTTCAAATGAAACTTACTGTTTTCAGAGATCTTGTTTAAATGTATTAAAATAAGAAATTAAGAATATTATTAATAATTTGAAAAATGCTGTACTGTTATTCATATTATAATACACAAATGTGTTTGTAGACCCTGAACGGCATTATATTTTCATATTTAAAAACATAAATGTATTTTCATTGATGCATGGCCACTGTTCCTCTTCATTAAGACACAACTTTTCACTTCAGCTGAGACTTTAACTCTAGCAGCATAGTATGTCCACACCTTTACACAGGGTCCTCTCTATAGAGGGAATAACACACTCACTCACATGCTTTCATGGAAAGAATTTTCACAATAGTATTTGAGAGAGCATCTGTCACAAAGAAGATACATATCTATAAATATCTGCTGTGATTCTTGAGGTCATCTTAGGGCAAGTGGTATTTCTGTTGGTATCAATGGAAACCACCACTGTTTTGTTTTTTGTTTTTTGCTTAGTTTTCTTTTAAAGAGGTATATGCTAATGGAAAGGGGCTCTGACAGCCTACTCCATAGTGAAATGCACTGTCAACCTCTCTGGTGGTTCCAATCCACCATCAGCCTTTCAGGAAAAAGATAGACATTCTCATCATATCCAATTTAAAGCCTTGGAAACTCACTGGAGGGACAGGTTTGATTCCAACCTGATGGCAAGGAATTTCATGAAGGAGAGTCCACAGTGTTTGGCAAATCCTCAAAGACTTAAGAAAATATTGGCAAAGATCTATCTGCCTAGAGACTAATCTCTAAAATATAAAGAAACTCTCAATACCTCAACAAGAATAAAACCAAACAAACCAAATTTTTAAAAAATGGGCAGAGTACAGGAAGATGCTTCACCGAGGAAGACAGACAGATGGCCAACACACATAAGAATAAGTGTTTAAGATCATTAGCTATCAAGAGATGCAAATAAAAATAAATTCAATAAAACCACAAACAACAGATAGTGTCACTGTATTGTTGTTGTGGTGTGCCCTCAAGTCAGAACCGACCCACACCTGGCCCTTCAGTGGGTTTTCAGACTCACAGGAGGAGATTACCCATCCTCCTATGAAGGAGCTGGTGGAGTCAAACCATGTGTCTTTGGGACTGAAACTAGGTTCTTACCACTAGGATTTCAGTTCTAATATCCCTAATATCCTGCTGACAGTAATGTAAAATGGAGCATTCACTGTGGACAACATTTTTACGTTCCCTAGAAAATTAGGAATAGAATTACCATTTGACCCAGCCCACTACTAGTTATACATGCTAAGGAAATAGAAGATGTGTTGTGCAGCTCTGCAACTGCATCCCTGCCCATCCTCACCCTTCTGCCCCCAACCCTCACCTCCTTGTACCCTCAATATGTTTTTCCCAATAAAATAATTTTAAAAAAAGAGAAAGAGGAATAGAAGATGTGACACAACCAAACATCTGCACACCTCTACTCATTTTAGCATTATTTATAATAACAGAAGGATTGAAAAGAGATCATGAAACACTGTCTAACATGGGTGCATCAAAGGTCCTCATGGTAACTAAAATTAATCAGTCAGAAGGACAAAATAGCATAAGATTGCAGTTCTGAAAAACCAAAGAAAGATTTACACACTGATAGAGTCCTCCTTGGATGGTTGTTTCGGATGAGAAGAGAGGGGAAGAGAGTAAACATTAGTAGGTAAAAGGCACATATGGTTAAAGAGGAAGACAATAACCAATAAGAATGCTGAGCACACTATCATTAAATAAAATGAAGACAGAGTTATGAAGGATTAATGGAAATCAGAGTTACAGGGATAATGTGGGAAAATAGGACTGCTGCATTGTATAGATCTAAATTAATGTAATTAAAATATATATGAATGGTTGAATGAAATACCCATTTGTTTGTAAACTTTAATCAATCACAATTTAAAAAAAAATAAAAAGCACAAGGTGTCTTAAAGGGAGCAAGAAATTTGCACCTGTTTGAGTGAAACTTTAAGAGGTTTCTAACGGGAAATATGCTTTTTGTCCTAGGTCATAAGTGTTCAGCCTACCAGGAAGGGAGGCAAAATCCCATCTTTCACTGACATCCAACTGGATCACCATGAGCGATGTGATTGTATCTGTAGTTCAAAACCACCTCGATAAAAGAATGTGCATATATTCAAAATATGTCTGAAGGAACCTTTATTTTAGGGAGAGTGTGGTAAGATACCCTTTGTCACTAGCTAACAATCAAACTTACTACTAGCCTGCAGTACAATGAATGCAACTGGTTGCTAGGTTTCAACCTAGCTGTATTACTGTCATGTAAAGTAGAAAGAAGTATCATTATTACCTTCTATATTCAAAGATAGAAGATTGCATTTTCTACAAGTGTCCAAGGTCTAAGGCCAAATTTTAGTAATGTAAATTCCTAAACATGAATATATATATGGTTTATCCAAATAACTAGGTAACCCAAAGCTAAAATATGGTTACTTGATCAAAATAATGGATGAGCTAATACATTAATGATGTCTTTGATAATTCCAAAGATGAATTTAATTTGTTGACACTCACTTTGAATGGGTAAACCATTATAGTTCTTACTCTCTTACAGATAGCTCTTAATATATTCAACAACAAAAAAATCTTTATGTGTGAAATTTGATTGGAAGAGAATAAATCTACAGTATAAAAAAAGTCAAACACTTAACTTTTTCCCTTGTGACATGCACTACATGCTTATCTATGTATACAATGATTACTATCTCTCAAACCAAGTTATAATCACATAGGTGTTTTGGAAATTAAGTCTTTGTTTCCTTTTATGCATTTTCCAGTGAATGCTAATGCATTCAGCATATGTCTCCAAAACAAGGTGCTTGGAAGATTTATTATCATGATCCACAAGAGACAAATTATAAATTTTCACAGATTGTTTTTTTCATTTCCCAAAATTCTTCTACAAAATGAAATTCTTTCATGAGTAGTGTGGGGACCACATGAGCTTTCTCAACATTTGAACAATAGAAACTTTTTTAAAAATATCAATGAAGTGTTAATATAACTGAAAATTGGATGAAATATTTGCTAAGAAGGATGCTGTTTAATCATGTATTTGAACTCTTGAAGCTAGGCTTATTTCTGTGAGGTATCTTGATTTTCTGTTCTCTCTCTTCAATGTTGTGTTCTCAGCTTTTTTATGTTTTCTGTTGATATTGGTCTCAAAGGCATTTTATTTATAACTTAAAAAATGTTGTATCTTAATAAAAGAGTCAAGTTTTAATGATATCAATCTCTGTTCATGTATTCACTTGGTGTTCAGAATCCCTGATTCTGAAGCAAATGAAATCAGCTTTGAAGTATCTTTTCTGTCTAGATCTGTGGAGCTTATTCTAAAAGCCACAGTACAAATTGTAGGAGGAGGACTCCAACCCCAGTTCCCCACAAGAAAACTAGTTTTGTTTTAGTCGTTATTGATATTTATAGTAATTTTTCCTCCATGGCTTCTGGAAGTCTACTTTAAAAGAGACTGAGTCCAGGCATAGGAAGTGATGCATCATTCTCCAAAGCAAGGTTCTTAAGAGAACAACACTGAAATCAAGATTGCTCAGTCTCCAAAAAAGAGAAACGCATTTTTCTCCCTGCCTTGAAAGAAAAAGAAAAAAAGGACAGTCGATTTATTCTGTGAGTTTAGAGGTCTAATGACAATAACCATTTTAGGTGAGAGATATGTGACAAGAACTGATCAAGTTCCTAGGTCACAAGAGTGACCTATGTATAGTTGGATATCTAAGTCTGGTTCACTCAAGGTCCCACTTCTCAATTATTTTCCTGGCCCATTCCTTCTAATCTCTTTGAAACAAAAGACCAGTGTTCAGTGAAGATGAAGAGCCCAATGCTTAATTCCAGAATGAATTCTCCCTTGAAGTCTAATGTTTTTACCTCATGGAGTTGTTGTTGTTGTTTTTGATTGCCTTTAAGTCGAGCATGACTCATAGCGGCCCTATGAACAAAAGGCCTGAAGCCCTTCCATTTATCAAAGTTCGTAGAGTCTTTGAATGCATGTTATTTAGGAAGTGAAGGTAATATTAAATACTGTCTGAAATCCCAGAGCAAATCAGAAATAACCCATGCAGACATTCTCATCAGTTTCCTGCTCCATAATAAAAATGTGCATTACCAGCTTGTTCAGCTCACATCGTAGCTGTAAATATTAAAAAATGTGAGTATTTGACCCAATTTTAAGAAGTCTTTCAGCCTCTAGTAACCACGATGGGTTTTGGTTAAAGTTCTATTTGCATTTTATTTAGTAGCTGAAATATAAGCAGACATATGCACTCAATTTCTTACTCTCTTTCTTGAGTATTTTAAGTTAAAATTTCTCCTTTGGTTATCTGTTCTCTATTGCACTTCCAGCTCATAGCCATTAAATCTCTTTCAACACCATCAAAGGAAAAAAAAATTTCCTATACAAATTGCAATTCAGAACAAACTCTAATAACATCACATTTCTGCATGTCTCACTCACCTGGGATAATGCCTTTCATTGAATATGTTCTTATAAAGCAGAACACTTTCATAAGTAGATTTTATTTTATTTTTAGTTTTTTGGTCATATAGGTAACATGCAGCTTTTTCCTCCCATAGCATTTTCTATAGTAAATGCAATATATTTCTAATCACCGTGAAAATAAATATTGCTTTTAAACAAATTTACTCCATTATCTGGTACTCAATAGGAGTTTCAAAATCTTTACAATGTTGCAAACATACTTTTACAAATGTATCCAACTATGTGAGGTGTTCAGATTGGGTGATTGCTGAGGGCTTCCTTTTATAGGGCTGAAAGAGCACAAACTCTGTTCCCTTCTTCAACCATTTACTATGCCTTCCATCAAGACAAGTGTTGCTGTCCATTCGCCAGCAATGAACAGCAACACCCTGATGGGGTTAAGCGTGATGGAGACATACCACTCTGGGAGTCATTCAGAGAGTCAATCCAGCTCAACTTTACTGGGAGCTGCAGCTCACTTATATACAAGCAAGTAAGCAGGAAGACAGGATAGAGTGAGCTTGCAGACATGAGATAGGCAGATTAGATAGGAAAACCTCAGCCTGATGCAGACTACTCCTAGCTCAACAGATGTGGCAGCCATCTTCCTAGGGGCGAACTCTCTCAAGCAGTAAGGCCAAACACAGGAGAGCTTTCTCTACATTGTATTAAAGGCCACTGGGAGGCTTACACTTATCCAGAGCTAGATGATCTGTCCTGGTGAGAGGCCCTCCCTTCCTCTCCAACATTCCCCAATATCTCCTCCCTTTGTCTTTAAATGAATTCAAAGAGGGGAAAGTCTCTGGTGTAGAGCCTCCGGTGTTTCTTGGGAAGAGGACGATCCAATGACAGTAAGGGTAGAAAGATTATTCAGTACAGCTATTTGGCATTCTATCTTGTGAAGAGGTCTACAGCTGCTCTTGTAAAGACAACTGAGATAATATAAAAGGTTAGAATTGCCATAACTTGATTTCCAGATTGGATTAGGAGATAAATATAGAATAGAGAAGAGAGCCCCGTATAAGAAAGGTGGGCAAATAAACAAAAGCTCACAAACCCTGATTAGCTTCTCCTGTTGTGGCACTATTGATTGTCAAAGCAGTGATAAGCAGTGTTAGAAACACAGGAGCACTGGGTGTACCACTCCCAGGGTTAAGGTCAAGAGCCTGTTGGTTGAGTGCCATCAGCACGTCTCAGGTCACAGGTATCTGTGGTATCTGGGGCTTCGACTTTCTTTTCCTCTGTCTCATCTTCTTGTCGTGGATGCTTAATCGATGCATCTTCTCAGCAGGCGGGCTGGAATTGGACATGACGAGCAGGAACCCACACCAGATGTAGTTTGTGCTGTGGGAAAATAAATACAAGCAAAACCTCTCCCAGTGGTTAGTAAAGGATCAGGCCTTTTCCATACTTGATCTAATGAATCCTTCCAAGGCTATTGATGACTCACTAGGAAGAACGTTGTTTCTGCCTCCTTGTTGGTCACACTCATCTCTTTACAAGGCCATCCCCTAAACATGTAAAGATCCTGGGAGGACTGCTCTCATCATATCTTTCCAATCTTGAGGGGTGTTTAAATTAAGGCTTAAAAAAATTAAACTGTGCCTTTGCCCATGGAGAGCGAGCTCCATCATCTCTAAAAGCTGTCCTAAGTTCTTTTAATTCTCTCCCAGCACATGGATCTCACTGTAAAAGATGTTCAGTTGTAGAATATACGACAACAAGAAACACATGTGCCTCAGAGCTAGCATCACACTGATCACACAGTACCTTGGGTAAAGGATGCTCAGGTGTTGGGCACACACCAACAGAACACACAAATACCTCAGAGTTCCACCCAACATCTCACTGATCATACAACACCTCAGCCCAAGAATTTCCTGTTTCTTCATTGCCTCTTTATTGTCCCCACCTGCTTTCTTTGTTGTCCTCATTTCTTGGGAGACTAAAGTAGACGTGGTGCAATCATTTTCTCTAAATTCTTTAGGGCTGTTTTCAGATTCCCCAACATAACACTTTCTCTTTTGTTAGCAGGGAGTGGGGTTTAAACAGCTGATGGTGCATTTCTTCCATTGGTGCTGCAGCCTTTGTCAAAACCAGTTCTGATTGATCTCCTTTGTCATCATGTCCTTTGCCATTCCCTGTCATTCCCCTCTGAGATAGATTTCACGCTGATTCATTAGGAGAGGGGGCACCACATCCTCTTAGCTACTTCCTTCAGGAAAGGGGCATTGTAGGTCACAGAGTGAAAGTCTTCTCTTACTACTCTGATGGGCCCCAGGTTTGCACATTGAAGACGTGAGTGGCAGTAATCCAAAGGAACAATATTAACAACTGACATCCAAAAGGAGGAAGCTTGAGATTGTGTAAGTTTGACCTCCCTACATTCTAACAAAGACATTAAACACTTTGCTTGAGAATCTGTTAAATTACTTGCTGAATTATCCATGCTAAATCAGTGGAGCACTTGCCCAATAAGATGGACTTGCATCAGGTTCCCTGCTTCCTGATGGACAAGCATGGAAGGAAGAGAGAAGAAAGAAGAAGAAAGAATTACTTGAATTACCCTTGCTAAACCAAGGGAGTGCTTACACGATAAGATAGACCT